TTTGAAAATTTGATTCAACAAATAGTTGAAAAACATTTTTCAAAACTACGAAACCTAAATTATTTAATTTTTGTCTCCTATAAAGAGTTAAACGAAAGTCGCAAAACATTTCAACATATTTTTTAATTTGCAATTCAGGTTCACTATAGCAGTACCAAATGCAAAGCCTTCAAAGCCTTTTCACCCTTGCTATAGTAGCAACTGTGTGTCATAATTTGATTAAGCCCAGAGTGATATTCGCCAATTTATTAAAGGTTAGAGGATAGGAGACAGACAAAACGATGGAATTCGTGAATTATGTATCATCAAATAATGCAGTTTCGATATTTTTGTCAACTGCAACACTCTCTTTGCCTAGATAAAATCTGATATTTGTTTGTAACTACTGTTTATTACTGTACCTTAGCAAAGCAAGCGAACTATCTTGTTTACATATAAAATGCATTGTTGAAATTCTATACATTGAATTGAAATAAATGTTTCCAGTCTTTTTGAATAAACAATGCTACATCTAGTAAACACGTCCCAATTCACTGGTTTGCTTGATACCGGTAGAACGGAGGTGTTTACTAAAATCGACTAACACCCTGCTAAATACAACATGGCACTGTCGAACGGCTAACCCAATTTCTATTATTGGAACAGTAAATTTATATTGTTCTAGATCGAACTCCTTTTTTGCTTTCAGACAGTTTGCCGTTACCATCTATGGTAACGCTTTTATTATTGAATGCATTATGCGTGTTCATTTGAAATGAATTTATCGAAAATCGCTGATTAAAAGAAAAAACGCCGCGACACGTCAAAAGGTTTGCCAATGGGGACAACTTTTTAACCAAAAACCACTTCACCCCCTTTCACCCTCGCCCCCCCCCCCCAGGGTCATTCTCTTCAAGAATTTTAAGTAACAAGGGGTATAGAGTAATAGCTTGTTTGCAAGGTACTTAATAGGTGGTTTGAAAGCCCTTTATTTTGATGTTTGACTTTCCAAAATCGGTCCTTTCGTTTTCAAGAAAATTAAAAAAAACTTTATTTATCCAAATTTGTTCAGATAGAAAACAAAAACACCCGAAAATATTTATTTATTTCAATAGGTATTCAAAATATTACTCGTTATTGGCCAAATAATGATATAGGCGATGTTCAAATTCCTGATGGACATTTTCAAAAACATATCATGTCAGCTTTCGATGATGCTTTGACGAAGTTCATCCAAACTTTCACGTTGGGGAGTAAACACAATAGATTTCAAATGACATCTTAGAAGAAAGTCTAATGGCGTCAAATCAGGCGATCTAAAAAGCCATTCTATAGGCCCTCTTCGCCCTATCCATTTATCTGGAAGCTCGTCGTCTAGCCATTGCCGTATCGGAAGAACATAGTGAGGAGAAGCGCCGTCTTGCTGGAAATATATTTCAGGGTCATCAAATATAGGGCTTATATCCTCTTCGATTTGGTGTTCAATGGTTTCAGTGATAAGCGGATTGATGGTATTTTCCAATATATCCAAATAAATGTATCCATTCAAATTTCCATTAATAAACAGTGACCCATTCACTTTGTTTCCTAAAATGCCTGCCGATACATTATTTTTTTGGAGGTATTGGGAATGCCCTTCTACAAAGCATGAGGATTTTTATTGCTCAAATACCTGCGGTTATGCTTATTAACAAATCCATTTAGATAAAATGTGCATTCATCAGTGAAACAGTTATTCTTTACATGAATGGTATTATCATCACTCGCTGCAATCATTTGTTCACAAAACTCAGCTATCGAAACCATCGTCGGTTGACTCTTGCAACATTTTTATTTTGAATGGATAAAATTTATGGAGTTTAGTAACTGCATGTACAGCGCCTAATGAAATACTAGTCGCAGCAACAATTTTGCGTAATGAAGTATTAAGATTTATTCCAAAATGATCCAAAACTTCAACTTAAGTGGCTTCATCTAAAACTCTCCGATGATCACGTTTTTTATTTGCAACACATCCAGTTTGAGTAAATTTAGTAACAAGGTCCAAAACATACTTATGCGGATGTCTGGCGTTAAACGTGACGGCAGTTTGCCGAGCACATTGATTTTGGGCAACATAAATTAGAATCATTTCCACTCTTTTGGCTAGTGTGTAGACCATTTTGGATGTAAAATCTGAATGAAGAAATTAATTTTCACTATCCCAAGATTGTCGCAAAGGTAACTAACAGGAAACTAAATTCCTTCTTTACCTTAGCAACAAATAACTAAACAGGTATTACAATAAATCAGTAGCTCAGAGGTAAACAGCCGTAAGTCCATTTTGACTCAATTTTGAGGTATTCTAGTAATTCTGCCTTTTTTTTATACTCCAACTACCACGAGGGCCTAAGGCCTAAGCACCCATTGGGTACCGTGGGGCTATAGGGGGATACATGGGAAAGGGGGGACGCCACACGGACTCTGGCGAGGGAACACGTGTGCATACAACATGCACACATTCTGGCTCCGCCTACGAGAACCGCCGGGTGGTACCTCCGCGTTCGACAGTCAGAGACCATCTACCACCTACGGACAATCACAACATCCATAGGCAAGAAAAAAATTTCTCCTGGGACGGGACTCGGACCCGCACAGCGCACGGCGACTGATCAGGAGACCGAAGAGTCTACTACTGCGGCCACCGCTGCTGCCTAAAACAAACACACAACATCCATGGCGAAGGCGAGATTCGAACTCGCGGCCCGGCCGGCCGGCTGATCAGTAGCACGACACCCTGACCCACGCGGCCAACCGAGCGCTGCCCTAGAATTACATAGTCTTATGTTACAATTATTCGAACTCGAGAAAATCAATATTAAAGAAATTGAGGTTTATATCTACTTAAATTTGAACATCTTTTGGTTCTTACTGTGATTTTTACATCTTTATAAGTGAAAGGTACATGGTATATAAAGGAAGTCGTCACACTTTTTTTATTGGTCTTTATTTTAGATAAACAAAAATACATAGGACTCCGTTACTGTCAAATAAGTTTAAAAATTAAGGATATTGGCAAACATAGGACTTCAAAACTTGAAATTAAATAAAAATAACCCAAATTAGTTAAGACAAAACAAACTAAAACTTAGTTAATACAAGGGAGTATCAAATCCATCAAATACTTATACTCGAAATCTTATTTTTTATTTTTATCTAATCTACTAAAAACAGTTTCATAGAAAGTCACATCATTTTTTGGCATCCACTTGAACATTGATTTTATTGCATCTACTTTGTGTTGTGCAAGTACCACTGCATAATCATTTTTCCTCAGTATTTCGGGAAATAATATATCGCCTCTTTCTGCAGTGACGTGGGATTGACGTCGGCCAATTCTTTGTCTTAAATTCAAAGATCTATATTCAGCCTCAGAAAAAGAGAGCCGATACCTTATCTCGTAGAACGATTTGTTAAATTCTAAGGGGACAGACTTATAATTCATTTTAACCGAATAGTTTTTAAAATCAAAAAAATCCTGTTCTCTCATTTGAAGAATGTTATAAGGTTTTTTAGAATTCACCTTTAAAAGGATCCGAATCAAAGAAATGGGAGATGAGTATTCAGATTTACGCAGAGTGCGCTCAATTGCGCTATGCACGGAATCTACTTCCTGGATGCATGAGTGCCCTGGTACGGAAAATTTCATTGTTATTTTCTTTAAGCTCGAACTGACTTGTAAAAGATGGACAATAGCATAACTCATTAAGCTGTTCCGATTTTGTGGGACGCAGCTATCGCTCCACAAAATCAGCTCATCCAATAGAGGACAATCTTCTGTAACCCTTCTTAGAATTTTGTAGACAGCGCTTGCGATGTCATTACCAGCACGACTATGAACAGCTTCTGACCAAACTGCACAATAAACTTTTCGGTCAATTGAAAGATGTGCGGTCATGTTGTAAACATTAAGCTTAGACTTGTAAAAAAAAATTCTTTACTCCTCCCTTTTTGCAAGTTAGAACATTTTCTAGGTCAAAATTCAGAATTGGTATGCCACTTTCTTTGTCTGCTTTCTTCTCTTCTCTCATAAGGTTCTTTTCTTTAATATGTCTCTCAAATTCGTATCTCTTTTCATCACTAAGGTTATTTTCTTTTTTCTTTAAATCTACCTCGGCACAAAGATCACATAAATCTTTTACTGGCTTAATAAAAGAGTAATTGAACTCTGTACAGAAAATTTCACGGTATTTGTGAAATTTTACAGGGCTTAAACCCTTTTCTGCTACAAATTCTTCATATAGCTCATACATTTTCTTAATTGACAGTTCACCTTCTAGGTATTGCCTTTTTGTTTCTGCGCGACAATAATGGCTCCCTACGACAGGAAATATTTTGATATGCTCTTTCACTAAACTTATAGTCTCTTCTGGAATATACTTCTTCTTATGCTTTCCCTGTGTGCTTTTTTTGAGTGTGTGGGAATTCGTTGCATGGTTATGGACGGTATATATAGGTTTTTGGCTTATAGCCAGTGTTCCACAATAAAAGTCTTTACAGACCTGTAGTCTGTTGTTATTTAATATGAAAAAATATCCATAACTATTCATTTTTCGTGAGTTATCAGAGTTTTTTCCCTTTCTCCTTCTTTCAACCTTACACTTTATAGTCGTATTTAGGATAAACATTCTCTTCTCGTTTGCGTCTAACTTATAATAGTTTGAAAAAATATCTTTCCTATCATCTTCAGTTAGTTTTGTAGCACATTTAAAGTGGCATCTATTTAAACAATCTTTTTTTGTTACAATTTTTCTAGCTGGACGAAGTTTTTTTCTTGTTGACACGTACTCCATTCCTCTATCATATTTTTCCTTTCGAATATTGTGTGCCCAGGATTTTGGGTCCCTAGTTCTTTTACGTGAAAGCTTCTTTTCGGTTTGGTGCTCTACTAAATCCTCAGACTCAATGGGGTGTTCTACAGGGCTTTCGACATGGCGACCCATGGGGCGCTCTACGGAAGGCTCCACGGATGCTTCCTTGGGTTATTCGTCGGGATGTTCTAGGCAGTGTTCCAGGAAACATACCATACTGTGTTCCACGGGATGTTCTGCGAGAAGTCCTAGAGAATGTTCCACGGGTTGTTTCATAGAGCTTTTCATGGTATGTTTATTCTGTTCTTCTCCAAATGTGCTCTTGTTCTCTTTGTCAGATGTGTTTCCAACTTTTCTAAAACAAAAAAAAGATAATCCATTTTTAAATGGCATGGTTTATTTTACTTTAAAGACTACGACACTATAAAATTAGGCCCATGTTAAAATACCACACGGTGTGGCTCTTTAGTAATAAATTTAAAGTACCACATGTGGTTAGGGGGTTAGGCTATCAAACAATGGCTGTGGCATGCCCTACTGGCACACTGCAGTGAACCTAATCAAACATCAAATACCACAGCGCAATTCAAGTGCAGGAACTCGACATCAATCATTTTAGCCGTTGTTGAAACGAAACGTTTGAAAATCATATGCAGCCACTATATATGTGACACTTTAAATTTATTACTAAAAAGCCACATCGTGTTCAACTACGACCATAAAATAAGCAAGAATTTGTACATACGTCGTGAATATTTTTCGTGTGCCAATACCCCTATTATTAGAAGCTGAGTCTGAGTCTGCTGTTCCTGGTTGGCGTGGTATATACATTTTCTTGCCCCGTATTGTAATGCTGAAAAATATTCGAATACAAAAATTTCATAGAATTGTAGATAAGATTTATACCTTACACTTACCTAATATGTTTTCTGGATTCCTTTTTATGTGGTTTATATTCTGCATCTTTGTCAGAGTCATAATCATCAAAAGTATCGGATCCCTCACTATTAGTTTCCATTTTTAACAATAAGAGAATACAAAAATACACACGACGTTACACTGCAGCAACACAAATAACACTGAAAACTTGTGCTGAAAAACCTAACCTATAAATACAAAATGAGAATAATTCAGAACTACAAGGGTGTATGTTATAACATGGTACCTTGTTATTCTTAAATATCGAAACAATTAACCAAAAGTGAGAATTAAGTGGGTGTATGTTCAACATAGAACTATGTAACTTAATTTTCGAATTTTTGAAACATACACCTTTGATTTTTCTATGATTCTGAGCTTAAGATTCGCTTGATTTCAGATTTAAAAGGTTCTGTGTATACCTTATTATACATAGAACCATGTTATCCCAAAATCTAAAATTTTATAGATTTGTTACATACACCTTTGTAATACTAGGGCAGCGCGAGGCCTCCTTAATAAATCTTTCCACGTGTCCCGGCGTTTTTTCTTTTAAATAGTGGTTTTCGATAATTCCATGGTGGGAAGATTTCAAATGAACAAGCACTCTGTGTATTATTTGAACTATCTTATCCAAGTTTTAGCTTAGTGTCAAAAATAAATAGTATTGTTGCAACTGTTGTCACCTATGATGCTGGCTTCATAATCAATTCAACTGACAGCGTTCATGACCTACACAACCGGTTTATTCAGAAAACGGGGTTATAGAATTTTTTCTCTATAGTATGACTTTAAACTTTAAAGCTTTCCAATGTAGACACTGTCGTCACTTGTTGTTAGAAGCATACGAAACTCATTATAGTAAAATAACTTGGGATGCTGATGTCGAATATAGCTGTAAAAGAATGCTAACGTGTCGCGAAGCCCTATTTAGAGTACTTCCAAGGTGCTCCTTTAATCTCAGCGAATATCTGATATACGCTCGCTCATTTCGAAATGACCATTGAGGAATACTAAACTATCGCAGTGACCTATTTAGAGTAAAAAATCAGGCTTTTGGCAGTTTGGTTTATAAACTATGGTCCAAAAATGTTTCCTTACAAAAACTCAGGGTGTTGAAGTTTTAGGAAAAAAATGGAAATTAATTAATATTTTCAGAACCGCTTCAGATATTTCACTGATGTTTAGTACGTAGTGAAAGTTAATAAAGCTGCATATTTTTCAATGCAAAAATAATGTTTAGCTTTAACAGTGGCGTGCGTACGTGTATGGACTTCGATATTTTTTAAGAAAAAAAATGCTACGCCAACGGTTTTTTGCAAAATAAAAATTATTTTTGAATTCCCCGTTTAATTTGAAACAAATTATCTCTCCTGAATTGGTTTCCTTCGATGCGAAATTTTTGAGTAAAAAAATAAAGACCGTTCTATTGTCCGAAAAAATTAGTGTAATAATTGAAGAATGCAATTTAGCAATAAATATCAAGTTGCTCTGGAATACGTCCCTGGCTTTTGACATCTGACAAGTCTCTGTTAGTCAAATCTGTTTACTGTGACATCTTTTTCATTATTTAGTTCTTACAATCTCATTGATAATTAAATGATCAACCGAACTTACCTGTAAGTGATGTTCGATCGTTCGTTAGTAGTATGTTGTTGCAACTAGCTTTGAACATCTACGATATGTATTCTAAATATTTACTTCGACGAGGACGGAACATAGTTACATGATCAAACGAACTTACCTGTAAGTGATGTTCGATCTTAATCATGTGATGTACTCGTCGAAGTAAATAGCTCTCTACTTCCCTATGTATCACCCAATTGTTGCAACAACTTGGCTTTGAAGATAATGAAAGTTTATAATAGGCGGCCAGAGGGTAGAAAGGTAGGAGGAAGGGGCGCGGTGCCGCTTTCCTTCTCCGCGTGCGCGCTTTGAAGTCGTGACGGTTGGGTACTACTACGAGGTTACTACAAAATGTATTCTAAATATTTACTTCGACGAGGACGGAACATAATTCATAGTTCTCGTAAAATTTTTTCGTGCATATTACGTTGGCATTTAATTAATATAGGCTTTACCTAACTCTATGAATATGCCAGGCGACAAGCCTTTTTTTAGACTATATATTAAGTATGAATATCAATTCGTAAGACACAACTATAATCAGTTACGCAGTAAGGACGTTCATTTTCAAACCTATATTAACTAAGTATGCTCCAATAAGTACCTACCTTGTTCTTTGAATATTTTCATACTTTTTATTCATGAAATGTTCAGACCTACAGATTTTCCGGTATGGAGTACCTATAAAAATAAGTGAATAACCTTTAAATGTGAGATATTATCAACATTTTTACCGCCAAGGGCGATCCACAACTCTTTGCTTCCGGTTAAAGTGCTGTGGATATTAGGTTTGTCAGGCCAAGCCGCAAACACACCCAAAAAACCGGGGACAAACCATAGAACAAGAAAAAAAGGAAGGCATTGTCAACTACGACATGAAAACTTCGAAATTGGGATATTACTCAAAAACATCATTTGGTGGGTTCTAAGATTACGCGGTTTTGTTTTTGCAATATGAGCTATTTGTTTACTAGTACTTCTCTTGTTCCAGAATGAAGTCTGGTGAAGCAGAAACCAACGTTCCCCCAACTGCCGTAGCACCTAGCCATTCCAGTGAAACCGAAAAGGGAGGAGGGGGGATCAGGATAGGAGTGTACGGATGGAGGAAGAAATGCCTGTATATCCTTATTCTGGTATTATTAGTTATGGTTATTGTCAACCTAGCCCTCACGCTGTGGGTACTCAGGGTCATGGAGTTCTCGTCGGTAAGTAAAAAACCCTATAAGGAACGTAAATACTTAGACAGGTCGAACGTATTTTTCGAGCGACAAAGTAACACTTTTCCTTCCTGGAACACAACTTTATTTGGATTTTATAAGTTGTTTCATTTCATCGATAACAACTAAAATACCCACACGCACTAATCTAGCAGAACTAGGAGAATATGTTTTCAGCCTTAGGTATAAGGTGTACGTGTATGGCCCCTTGTATATACCGAACTTCGAGATTTTCTTGTACCATCGCCGACAGTGATTGGCTACAAGAATGAACTACTAACTGTCTGAGTTACCGCGTGATAAACCTGACCTAGAGCAGAAACTTAGTTAACACTGTTTCGCAAGACAAACCCCATCAGTTTCCTAACTTTATTAATTTCAACGTTTGTTCATTGAACTGTGACGCTTCTCGCTGCTTCCTCCGTCGCTTTTGAGCGAAATTCCTCTACAAACGTTGCCACTCGGCGACAATGCAGCTTCCTGGCTAACCGGAAGTGTCAATTCTAATTGTCGTCGGGGTCTGGAGAAATTTCCAACTCTAACATTGGGCGAAAGATCCAAAGTTGATACTAATTCCACGATTCTGTATCGTGGATGCAGAGCAAGGGGACGTATCTTGTTGGATCACATCTAACAGTCAATCAAATAATATGTATGGAGGCAATGCATCAATGACTGATATCAGCTATCATAGACATCATTCTCTCGGCATTATCTGATATATTATTGCCAAGTGGAAATAAACTACTCAAAATAATTAAGGGAGCAAGAAAAAATCCAAAGTTTTTGGTTATCTTTGGCAGGGTGTATTCCGGCGAAAAATGGTCGTGTATACGAGCCCCTTCCCACTTCAGTTGGCCCAACTATTGAAATCTTAATTTTTTTCTTATCAAACACAAATAATAAAAATGTAGCAGAGTGTTATAGGTTCAAAATATTAACAATGAATATTTTGATAATATATAGTAGAAAACAACAACTTTATCACTCCCTAATCAAATTTGCAGCATAAAAATAACACATGTTGCAATTACAGCATATCAACCTATTTTCATTTCAATGCAAAATAAGTCTATATCGCTATATGGCTGTGAAAAACAAAAGCCATGACAATTGTTTTTATTAATCGCAGCTGTCAGAATACGTTTAAAATAGTGTTGGTAGTTAAGGTTTTCAAAATGGGTAGAGGAAAGGTTATTAGTGAGAAAATTCGGTTACTGATAATTAAGTTTTTTAATTCTGGGAAATCAAACTCAGAAATTGCAACTTTGTTAGACTTATCACGGTACAGTATGAGAAATATTGTTAGAAGATATAACGCAACTGGTTCAGTTAATGCTAAGCCACGATATATGAAAAAAAGTAATATCACAAATGCCGACCGAAGAGCATTAAGAAGAATAATCGTGAAAAATAGGCGTGCCAATTATTTACAGTTAAGTGCTCTGTGGAGTGACGCTGTTGGAAGGAGAGTTCCGAGGTCCACAACTCATAGAGAGGCCCACAAACTGGGATTTAGCACTTGCAAGGTAAGTTTTCTAATAAAAAAAAGTGAAGTAAAAAGCCTAAAGTTGCACAACTTGTTTATATGCCAAAGAAAAGTCACTATTAACTCCACTGCAAAAGAAAAATCGGCTTAGATGGGTTAAAGAACATAGACAATGGACACCTCAAAAATGGTGTGCAATACAATGGAGTGATGAGGCCCGATTCGAAGTCTGTGTTGATTTCAGTCGCAGTAGAGTTATTCGCAAAAAAATGAAGCATCCCATGTTGACTGAAGAGAAAAGTGAAATTTCTAGCATCCATTATGGTCTGGGGCAGTATGTCATCAAAAGGAGTAGGAAAACTTCATTTTATTGATATAAATGTAGATACAAACAAATATTTGGCAATTTTAGAAGAATCGCGTTTACCAGTGATGGAAGATTGTTTGACATCCGGCTAAGATTTTGTGTTTCAGCAAGATGGTGCAACGTGCCATACCTCAAAAAAGGCTATAAAATGGATAGAAGAAAATAATGTACCACTTTTGAAATGGGTTTCTAGCAGTCCAGATCTGTCATCTATTGAAACTTTGTGGCACGAGATGAAAAAGGTTCTACGACAACATCCTGCTCGTACAATCACCGAACTGAAACAAAAGCTTCAAGAAATATGGGATTGTTTTACACCAAAGTTTTGCCAGAACTTGATTAACACTATGCCCCACATTGTTTATTTGTTCAGATGTTCTATTAGTTCTAGGTCTAAGTGA